TTTTTTTTTTGTTTGTTTGTTATCTTAAATGAGTACTCTCACTAGATTATCGTATGTTCTATAATAATGATCTGTTGATGAAACGTGATTTTCTTATTTGTGATAGTGCAGTAACACAGCAGTAGCTTTTAGGATTATCAAGCATGACATTGTTAATTCCCGAATGATTTTCATTTGCTTTTAGTTGTTAGTCAAGAGACCTCAGAATCCTTACTATTCCTTTATGCCTTGATGCCCGAAAAAGCATTTTATTATTATTACTTTATGATCTTAATTGCTATTTGTGATTATTTTGTAATTTAATCCAAATTGTGATTTCCCTCATTTCTTACAGTCTAATCATTTTTCAGGTGAGGTGTTGCCATTAATTTGCAATCAATGGCTGACATGTGTCACATGTCTAGGAAACCATGTCTTCTGACCATGGCTATCTTATTTCGCTGAGTGTGGTGTGAAACCTGGGAGAAAAGGGTTGTTTTTGTTTGTTTTTTTTTAACCTCTGACATTGGATTTATGTAAACTTTTCCATACTGAGTTGAGGTTTGAAGAAATGCTCTTCCTGTTTTAGATACCTGAAATGTTATTCAGTGAAACAGATGGTGAAGAAAAATATAGTGACAAAAAAAGGAAAGAAGAAAAGAAAAAACACTCAGGTACTCTTTTGATGAAGTCGACTCTGGGTTTTATTAGTGAAATAATTGCCAGTCTCTAATATTACAACTTCCTTAACGATTCACAATGATGATAAATTTGAAAAATGTTAAGGTAACAAAGTTAGGTTTCTTTTAAGGAAAACCGTACTTTGAAGCTGTCTATATTTTTGAATTCGTGTTTATGTCGTTTTATATAGGACCTAGCACAGTATCTGTTGTTCGCAGCTAAGCAGTGAAACAGTTAGATGTTTGACCGGAAACCGTAGGATGTTCTGCTTCCACTGTTACAGGGTCTTTGGCTGGTGGGCCAAGTTTTCACTTTCCATTCGATATGTCCTGTCCTCAGCTCGTACATGAGAAAGTTCTGTGGTGTCTTTGGGCACTGACATAATGTTTTCTTAATTGTACTCTCATTGTTTTTTCCAGTTCCAAAATAATTTTGAATGTGGTCTTTTTTATATGCATCATAGCACATTCGTTAATTTATTTCTCTAATCATCTAGTCACCAAATAGTTACTGAACTCAGTTCACATTAGGTACTGGGCTGGATACTAGAGATGACTCAGGAGCTTATGGTGGAGTGAAAAGTAGCAAGAATTATGTTCTCTTATAAAAATAAACTCTGCCGTAGCAAGACAAATGATGGTAGGAGTTTATGGGAAGTGCCCTTGAGGGTGAGGCCTCTTACTGGCAGACGTTACAGCAGACGGGCCCTGGCACACAGGCACTTGGGGCGGTGGGGTCTGGTAAGAGTGAGTTACGTGCAGGCATAGAACAGGCACTTGGCCGGATCTGCACGCCGCCCACTGGGTATTAGCTGGAAGAGGAGGAGGGGCTGAGAAATTTTGCTTCCAACTTGGGGGTGATGCGGGGTGATGGAGAGATTTTAGCGGAGACGTAACCAGAGTCTTGTTTTGGAAACAGAAGTTTCTGGGTCCATGCCCTTCTTCAGTTACTGGAAAATACGTCGGTGTGGGGAGGACCTGTGGAGGGACCGCTGAGGTCACCTGAGAGGAAGGAGCGGACCCGGGGCGCCAGGCCATGCCCTGGGGCGGGGGGGGGGGGGGGGGGGGGGGGGGTTGGTTCCACCATGGCTGTGGCGTGCCAGGCAGGGGTTCTGGCTTCAACGTTCCTTCGAAGTGGACTTTCTGGACTGAGGCACGGAACACGGAAGGAAGTGGATGGAGACGGTGACAGGAAGATGGCGTGTTGAGTGAACGGCGTGCTGCATCTAGTGGGGCCTTATTCTCCGTTTTCTGGCTGCTGAAATCCTGCTGGTCCCTGCGTCAGTTGACAGTGGATACATGTTACTTGGTTTGATCCTTCTTTTCCGTTGAAGCAGCTTTTATTGTGCTTTCTTCTGGATTACATGTCATGTAGTTCTAACTAATTTATGTTATGACAGCAGATTTATCTTTCTTGCAGCAATAAAAGTGTTCAGAGGAAATATGTAACAGTGGAAGGGCAGAGACCACCGATCCTAAGTAATTCAAATCTGTAAGGAGAGTGGGAGCTTGAATAGTGAATAGATACGTAGGAATGTGTGTGTACCTTGAAGACAGACGATGTCTGCCACTTACAGTGGCGGGGGTGGAGATATGTGTGTGCGATAAGTACAGTTCACGTTGTTCTCGCTAATTCGTCATGGATCGTATGTATATTAAGTCATGTTTGTTTTTTCTTTCCAGTTGATCCCGATTTTCTAAAATCATTTTTATTAATCCATGAATCTTGTAAAGCATATGGTGCTACACCAAGCCGATACATGACCTTCTTACGTGTGTATTCTGCCATTAGTAGCAGCAAGAAAAAGGAATTATTAAAAAGACAAAGTCATTTGCAGGTACAATATTTTAATCAATCATTTCGTCTAGACACAGGGTATAAGGATTATATCACAGTCCTTGGTTGTGGCATATATTTAGTATAAATAACTACCACACTATATTACAGGTATTACAGGCCTTAAAACAGTCTCATCTACCTGTGGTTTTCACTAGGTATAGGAAGGGTTTTGTAATTTTTTTGATTCAGTGATTATTCCTTTTCTTCACTGGGTGGCATTTATGTGCTTTTGATAGTTTCTGGTGATCTTTAAAAATTTCTTTAATGTGAAAGCATTTTTAGAAATTCAGCAATGTGTCTTAAAACATGGAGAGTAAGCTTTATAATAACCTTTAAAATTAAAATTATACCTCCTAAAATAATACTTTTTATCTCTGTCACTTAGTATATTATGAACAGTTTTCGTTCTGTAATTACAGAGCTTCAACTTAAATGTGACATTAAAACGCCAGCCTTGGAAGTTGTCTGAGAGCATTTCCTTTCCAAAGTCATAGAGTCTCTGTTAGTGTAATAAACTAGGATCCCTCCCAACTGACAGAAAGTTATCTTTGTCTGTCTCTGTAAAGATACACTTTCATTCGTAGCAAGCCACTAACTATAAAGGTCGTTGTACTGATTTAGTTCTCTTTGGTGCTGTGGGTAAATTACTTAAACTCATTGACCTGCAACTTAATTGGGTCAGTTGTATGTGAGCTATTCAATGAAATATATATGCAGAGAGCCAGCCTGATGCTGTCCTCTGTGTTGGGTGCTCAATAAATATTGTTGATTTTTCCTTTTTGCTGTTACTATCTCCCCAAATCTTCTCATTTGTTAGGTGACAAAAACCTAACTCCTATTATAGGAGAGCGGGCATTTTTTTCATGTCCATTCCTTCATTATTCATGGGCAGTGGGGCATTTTTTTGATGTCCATTCCTTCATTATTCATGGGCAGTGGGATGGGGTAACATAATGGCTAGCCCAGGGTCAAATGTCCTCCCCAAGGAATAGGTAAGGTATTTTGATTCAGAGCCCACCAGAACCCTATGTGAGGCAGCCTCTTATAAAAAGGTAGCTACTGGACAGACAGAACCAAATGATGTCCAGGATAAGAGGACTAGTCCTTGAGTCCTTTTACTCAGTGAGACTGAACAATGGAGAAGGTTTATGGACTTTTTCCTTGCTCTGTTTCCTCTCTCAGAACGCAGTGGGTAAAAATCCTGGTCTTCAAGCTGCCAAATATGTGTCGATCTGTTCACGTTTACTGTGATACTATAAAATCTGACTGTGTGTGTTTTAATGCCTCTGTGGAGTCTTTTACTACATCTTACTGAGTGTATGGTTGAATAAGTCATAACTGGCAGTAAGGAAAAACCCAAGTTCACTTGCAAGTGTTTGATGTGTACACACATTTTTTCTTGATGGTTTCTTACAGGTTTTATTTGCTGTGTGTGTATGTAATACCTGTTTTTAATGCTACCAGTCCATATTTTATCGATCGTGTACCAGTCCATATTTTATCGATCGTCTACCAGTCCATATTTTATTGATTGTCTACCAGTCCGTAGTTTATCGATCGTCTATCAGTCCATATTTTATCGATCGTCTGCCAGTCTATACTTTATTGATCATCTGCCAGTCCATATCTTACCGATGCAGGCTGGTGTGTCTAAACTGAATGAAGCTAAAGCTCTTGTGGATGAGCTGAACAGAAAAGCTGGCGAGCAAAGTGTGTTATTAAAGACGAAGCAAGACGAAGCAGACGCCGCCCTTCAGGAGATCACGGTGTCGATGCAGGTGATGTTTCTGGGGCGCAGAGATGCAGGCGGTAGGGAGACCATTTCCACTTGATCAGTACTGGGAGAAATTACATTTCTACTTATGTGGATATAAAAAATACTTCTTGTCTGCTGAGTCACACTGATGGTATTAAACACTGAGCTTTTTGGAAAGAGTGTGGAAGTTTCCCATGTTATTTTAAAATCATAACTAGGGGCGCCTGGGTGGCTCCGTCGGTTAAGCAGCCGACTTCGGCTCAGGTCATGATCTCACGGTCCGTGAGTTTGAGCCCCGCGTCGGGCTCTGTGCTGACAGCTCAGAGCCTGGAGCCTGTTTCGGATTCTGTGTCTCCCTCCCTCTCTGACCCTCCCCCGTTCATGCTCTGTCTCTCTCTGTCTCAAAAATAAATAAATGTTAAAAAAAAAAATTTAAGATCATAACTATATTTTTCTCAATTCACCATATACTAATTTATCTAAACCCTATAAATATGCAAATATGAACATTTTAGGTTGGCGTAGATGTGTCTGTAAACAATTTTGTTTACTCTCTGTTGTATGTCTTTATTTTTCTTAAAATCATCTCCTCAGGCTTCAAGGGTTTTTTCCTCCTGCCTTTAATATTTTCAGGATTTAAGAAATAAGTCTTTATTAATTTCATTTATACTTTCATGATTATGTTTTGATGGTGTCACCTTTCTGCCATTGTCTTCAGTGAACCTTTGTTGATGGTTGAACCTTTCAGAGGAGATTTCTTTGAAAGTCTTCTTTGCCCAGGTTGTGGGTTGTGTCTGCACGCCCTCTCAGGGTGTTCTTGTCTTGGCCTCTTTCCTGCTGACTCTGTACTGACTGCCACCAAATTCATCGTTTTTATCCTTCAGCCCTACTCCCTCATCCTGGCCTCAGACTAAAATATGCAGTATTTTAGTAAACGTGTCTTCTTAGAAGTCTCATGAGTATTATGGCTGAATAGTATTCCATTGTATATATAAACCACGTCTTTTTTATCCATTTGTCAGGTGATGGACACTAAGGCTCTCTCCATACTTTGGTTATTGTCGATAGTGCTGCTAGAAACATTGGGGTGCACATGTCCCTTTGAGTTGGTATTTTTGTGTTCTTTGGGTAAAAACCTAGTAGCGCAATTGCTGGGACGTAGGTAGTTCTATTTTTAATTTTTTGAGGCAACTCCATACTGTTTTCCAGAGTGGCCACACCAGTTTGCATTCCCACCAGCAGTGCAAGAGGGTTCCCCTTTCTCTGCATCCTTGCCAACCTCTGTAATTTTTTGTGTTATTGACATTATAGCTAATTATTCAAGACAGAACTGAAAAATTATATTGGACTTCTGTTCTCTCAATTCCTACCTTTTTTTTTTAATGTTTGTTTATTTTTGAGAGAGAGAGACACACACACAGTGCATATGGAGGAGGGGCAGAGAGAGAGAGAGAGGGAGACACAGAATCCAAAACAGGCTCCAGGCTCTGAGCTGTCAGCACAGAGCCCGACATGGGGGTCCAACTCACAAACTGCGAGATCATGACCTGAGCTGAAATCAGACACTTAACCAACTAAGCCACCCAGGTGCCCCTCAATCCTTACCTTTAATGAATCACTGAATTGTTCGTTTACCTCCTTGATTAGGTCTCATGTATGTTTGTCCATCTTCATGTTGGTGACTATTAACCTGACTGCAAGTCTAATGTCTCTTTTAATTAACTTCAATAGTCACTAGAGTAATGTATAAATTTCAATAAAAGTAAATGGCACAAAAACTCACAAAATAATAAAGTTGGAGGACTTATGATTTAAAGATTTACTACTGAGCTGTGGTGGTCAAGGAAGCATGACATGGGTGTAATGACCCCTACAGGGTCACTCGAGCATTATGGAGATCAGAAGTAGATGAATGTGTACATAGTTGATCGATTTTATACAAAATACCAGTTAAATAGTGAAAAGATTGGTTTTTTTTTAATGATATTTGGATATCCAGGTAGAGACCAAAAAACAGATCTTTACCTTAAACTTGTATAAAAATTAACTCAGTATGGATCATAGATCTAAATGTATACCAAAAATTATACAACTTTTGAAGAAAACAGGAGAAAATGTTGAAGATATTGGGTGAGACAAAGATTTTTTAGATGTGATACTAAAATAGAACAAGAAAAAATTTGATAAATTGGACTTATCAAAATTAAAAATGTAGGCTCTGTGAAAAAAGCTCTGAAGAAAATTAAGAGGCAAATCACAGACTGGGAGAAATTATTTACAAAACATAAATCTGATAAATCACTTGTATCCAAAATAGACGGAAACCATGATGTACACAATAATAATAAAACAAAACATTTAATTTACAGATGGCCAAAATGTTTGAAGGTACCCTGTGTGAAAGAAGAAGGGCTAGTAAACGCATGAAGGGATGCTCAACATCATTGGTCAGGAAGAAAATGTAATCCCTTTGTTTTTAGACATTGAAAAGTGTTACTCCATTACCTTCCAACTTCTCTTGTGACTGAAGTTCTCAAAGTTAGGTTAAGTTCTGATCCTTTTGCCGTGATCTTTTTCTTTTTTCCTCTCTTGAGGTTTTTTAGATTTGTGTTTTCATTGTTCTGAAAGTGACATGATCTGCCTTGATTTAGGTTTATTTTCGTTCACTGTGTTGGACACAGTGTGGATTCTTTGCACCAGAACGCTTCTGTCCTCCAGTTCTGGGAAGTGTCCTTAAATTATTCTGATGGTGCTTCTGTACCTCCCTGTCTCTGTCTTCACTTTCTAGAATCCCCATTACTTGCACTTTGGACTTCCTGCCTTGTTTGCTAATTTTCTTCTTTTCTCACCTTTTTTCTTCTCTTTTTGCTCACTTCCTTTAAAATTCTTCATTTTCTAATTTTCCTATTAGTTTTTCATTTCTGTGACAATATTATTAGATTTTTTTTTCAGCCTCTGAATGTCTGCTGTGGCAGTGTCCTTTCTTGTTGGTTTGAGTCATTGTTGAGTTGCCTCCACGTAGCTCTCATAGGATACTTGATGCGACCTTATGTTTCCCAAATATCTTTTCTTACTGCTTTTCTCCTACTTGACTCTTTTATACTTACTCACAAAAAAGCTTTCTTCTTCTCTCTCTCTCTCTTTTTTTTTTTTTTTTTTACTGTTTATTTATTTTGGGAGAGAGAGGGAGAGAGAATCCCAAGCAGGTTCCACTCTGATAGTGTGGATCCTATGCAGGACTCCAGCCCATGACCCTGGGATCATGACCTGAGGTGAAATCAAGAACCAGACATGTAAATGACTGAGCCATGCAGGCACCCCAAAAGAAGATTTCTTCTTCTTTTTTTTATATGAAATTTATTGTCAAATTGATTTCCTTATAGAACACAGTGCTCATCCTAACAGGTGCCCTCCTCAGTGCCCATCACCCACTTTCCCCTCCCGCCCACCCCCATTAATCCTCAGTTTATTCTCAGTTTTTAAGAGTCTCTTATGGTTTGCCTCCTTCCCTCTCTGTAACTTTTTTTTCCTTCCCCTCCCCGATGGCCTTCTGTTAAGTTTCTCAGGATTCACATAAGAGTAAAAACATATGGTATCTGTCTTTCTCTCTATGACTTATTTCACTTAGCATAACACTCTCCAGTTCCATCCATGTTGCTACAAAAGGCCACATTTCATTCTTTCTCCTTGCCACGTGGTATTCCATTGTATATATAAACCACAACTTCTTTATCCATTCATCAGTTGATGGACATTTAGGCTCTTTCCGTAATTTGGCTGTTGTTGAAAGTGCTGCTGTAAACATTGGGGTACAAGTGCCCCTATGCATCAGCAGTCCTGGATCCCTTGGGTAAATTCCTAGCAGTGCAATTGCTGGGTCATAGGGTAGATCTCTTTTTAATTTTTTGAGGAACTTCTACACTGTTTTCCAGAGCGGCTGCACCAGTTTGCATTCCCACCAACAGCGAAAGATGGTTCCTGTTTCTCCACATCCTCTCCAGCATCTGTAGTCTCC